TTAAATAAAAAGGCTTAATATTTTAAATAATTTAAAGTGCACCAATTATAATAAAATCACATTTATAAGGGGTTTAAACAGTTGTGAGTGAACAGTGTGTGAATATAGCCAGCTTCTAATGGTAAACATTTATTAATTCCATTTGTTTCATTATCTTACTTGATAAAAATAGTCTTTAAAACGGCTTTCTCCCTTTGTACATGACATTTGAGAGAATGGAAAGCATAAACACCACTGAGTGAGAAGCAGCTGTCTGCCATTAGTTTTCCTCTGCTGAAGATAATGTCAGTGTATTCTATGATTATAAAAGTGGAGTTAATGAACACTGTAATCTCCATAAGCCCCTTTTACACATTCAGACCTTTTCCGGAAAATTATCGACAACTTTTTGAAAATATTGGTACATTTTTTGGGCAATTTTCCGGAAAGAGAAGTTGTAACATTACCAGTAATTTGCTGGAATGCTGCTCTGTGTGAGCGCAGAAGGAAAATTGCAGAAAAGAGCGTGTTTACGATTAGAACAGACTGACGTGAGACGTCAACTCCAGCCCACCAGAACATTCAGACGCACTCACATCTGCGCTGTTTATAAAAATAAAAGCCTTTGAATATTTTTCCAGACACATTTAGCTGCTAGATGTTAGTCAGTTAACGTCTCTATGTTCCTTCTTAATGCCAACTATGTACAAATGTATCGATAAAATGCTTATCATAAATCGCTGTTTGTTTATCTTCAAGCTCTGATTCAGTTGCTTGATGCATGTGCAGAAGTGCTTCGGTGAGCTCCAGCACACACACATATTACGTACATCTCGACATGTGAAAGTGTTCCTCCATATGCCTCATCGAAATTGTTCACAATACTCATCTTTCTACAAAATTTGTAATCTAGTTAAACGTGTAAACATTTAGCTGCAGTTCACACTTCTGCATTCGAATGTCTCTGGGACAAAGCAGCTGCATAAATGCTAAAGCTTTATAAAAGTGAAACTATCAACAAAAGCCCGACCTCTTCTATATTTACAAATACAAGCGCAGCCGTTTAGAGCTTATGGGTAATGATGTCAGAATTTACCAGTATTTTGGAATGGATGTGTGAACAGTCTTTTCCGGAAAAATTCCAGAATGTTCTAGCTTTTTTTAAATTTACCATTAAAGTCCTTCCGGAAACTATTTACCTGTATCACTGTGTAAAAGGGGCAATAGACTGCCTTCTGCTGAGACACTTCTGTTTTTACATTTTTTCACAGAGATATCGTTAGTCCTGTTTAGAATCTGCCAGTATTCTGATGCATATGCATTTGTAGCTCCAGTCTCTTTTGAAAATTGCAAATTCTCATTTAAATTAAAAGGAACAGTCTCAAAAATGGCAAAATTAGGATCAAAGCCTTAAAGGGGCTGTTTCCAAGCTGAAACGTCACATATACTTGTCAAAATGGTCATAATAAGTAATCATTTAAAACAATAAATGAAAAGTTATTTTCAAATCCAGCCAATATTCGGAGTGGCTGGTTTTGACTGAACTAAACAACAGTAATATAGGCAAGATAAATGTCATTTTAAAGTTGGAGTCAGGTTTGGGCAATCTAAAAAGATAACAATTCAATTTATTTTAAATAGGAAAACTAGTGAATAATCTGGAACTAGTTGCAACAAAATAACTAGTTGAAGATATCTTTATATTATTATTTTTTACAGCGTATCAGTATGTATTCATATGGACTGTTTATTTTAGTATAATGAGTGAAAAATGAAAAATAGCTTGGGCTGTATCATAAAGTATTAGAAAAGTGGTTAATTTGACTCAATATCTTTACTGTATCTGAAGTCTTCTGTAGCGTTGAGTGGAAACACAGACAGTCTGGTGCATTCATCAGAGTAATAAAAGATGTGCTGATGTCATTCTTTTGAAACTTTACAACAAATTAAGTTGATCCAGTTTCCACTTTTTGAAAGTGGCTTTAAAAGTAACGTAGTGAACATTTTTAAATGGCATATCGATGTGCCTTTTGATGCTGTAAAGCTCCAGTTCCCATTTACTGTGATAACAATCAGGACACATACATTTCTCCTTTTATTTTTCACGAAAGAAAGATAGTCATTGGTGTTTGCACAGTGACACAAAGTTGACCAAAGAATTACATTTTGCTCATAAATAAATATGATTTGTATATATTATAATTTTAATAAAATATTTTTGTGAGGGTCAGCTTGTTTGTTGACATTTTTAAAAATGGGAAAAAAAGGCAACTACATCATATCACATCTTTAAAGATGGTGCTTTGTACAGTAGCACTTCAACCACCCCTGAGAAACACTAAAAAACCATTACTGAGCTTATTGGGTTCTCATTCCTGCAGGCACAGGATGTCAACATGACGTCATATTGATGTTGTAGCCCAATGTCGTGAGGACATTGGATATTGTTTAGAAATGAAAATTGGGTTGACGTCAGGCTGATAACAATGTCCAACCTAAAAATCAACCTGATATCAACATCTAATCATGTTACACCTTTAAGCTGTGTGGACGTTACTACTATGACATCAATCAGACTTTAGATTTTGGCCACTTTTCAACACAACCTAAAATCAACCAAATATCTGTCATTTTATTTTGTTATTGGACGTCAAACCAAAGTTGTCCTTAGACTCTAGCTAGACATTGAATTTGGGTCACCTGACATCATGACCTAAATCTAACCTAATATTAATGTCTTATGATGTTGTGTGCCTGCTGGGATAGCACTTAAATTGGTAAAACATTTGGTGATATTTCAAAAATTTCACAACCTTTGGAAACCCAGACGATCCAAAAAAATCTCTTTTTGTACTATTTAGCAACATTTTTAGATATATTTTGTGTATGGGTGTAGTATATCTCCATTGACCATAATGAAATGTAGCCTCTCTAATAGTTCCAACTGGATTCATGTCCTGCTTGAATAACTGCAAAGTTAAAGGCTGTTGTTCTTGCTGATAGATGCTTTTCTGTTGACAGTAATATGTCAGACAGAGCGTTCTTGAATCAGTGTTGGCGATACAATGGAAAATCCAGGTGGAAGATATGAGAGTTCACAGCGCTCACTCCCTGGAGGAGCTTTGGCCGCTCTCTTCTTTCTCACAGGTCTGATCGATGAGGCGTAAATCCACTGAGCAGAAGCTTTTGGCTGCCAGAAAGCTCACAGGTGAACAGGCTAGTTGCCACGAGCTGTTTCTATATATTACACCATGGCTGGAGGCTATAATTTACTGCTCCTCCCTCCATCTCTTAGAGCTAAATCAGACCTGCACCCTGCTTCCCAGTCCAATTTTTTATCTTAAGTAATTCAAATGTTTGTTTTTTTATCTTTTCTAAATTGAACCAAATATGTTTTGGTCTTAAAAGCTCCAGTTGCAATTTACTTGGTAATCTAATTACAATATATTGAAAAAAAATCTGTATGTGGAAACAGGGTAAAGGGTATTTATAAATATTCAGTACCAATTTTACAGCAAAATTTTTTGTATGTGGGTCAAATACAAGGGATAGTTTAGATTTTTAGATATTTTTTGCAACCACCAAACCTCATCAATTCACAATTTTATTTTTATTTTGTTTATAAAAGGTTTAATTGATTTTTTTTTGTTATTTTTTTAAATTCCGAGATCCTGCAGGTTGCATTTTCATTGCCAATCTCAAGCCAATTGTACTCATTTGTTTTGGTTTAGTTTGGAATTTCCCCAACCAACCCAGAGCCCGGGGGATCAGAGTGAGTGCTCCGACTTGGCCCCACCCTGATTCAAAATGTTTAAGTTTTGTATCTTTTTTTAAAAACATTATTAGTTACTGGACAAAATGATTCGAGAAGAAATAGACTGAACTGGAGGCCTATGCTGTTTAATCAGTGAAAAGGCATGTACCATAGTAAATTTAGTTGTTCTAAAATAGATTTGAAATAGTTGTTCAAATAGAGTTTTTGTGACTACAAGGAGAACATTTTTAGTCAAATCCATGGTTCTTAGTCACACATAAAATACAACTCAATAGCTAAAAAAAAAAAAAAAAAAAAAAAGTTATATGTAACACAAAACATAATGCCAAGGCTCCTGATAACATACTCAGGTCTAATGAAGCAAAACAATTGGTGTGTGCAAGAAACTGAACATTACTTACAACATAATTACAACCCAGGCTCATTCTGAAAACGTACCTCTATATACATTCATGGAGCGCGCCAAATACATCCCAGGACCTGCGTTGTTTTTTGGTTTGTTTTTTTTTTTCAGTTTTTTTGCTTTTGCGAATGCCCAGGGGTCACCGAGTACGCTTTTTGAGAAATTTCTCTTACAAATGCATTCGCCCTTGTTGTTCTAACGTAAACTCACCAGAGGCCGTTGCAGACTGAATGACTGACTGACTGACTGACCAATTGACTGGAATTGTTCTCCACCAGACTCGAACCCCTTGAACTGCGTCTCAAGTCTGCGGACGTACAAGGCAAGCTAATGGGACAAAATGGTAAAAGTGGGACAGCCGCCTATACGGGGACAAGCGGTCAGCTGGAAAACGCAAAAAGGAACAGCGTCAAACCAGCCCGTTCATTTAAAAAATGAAATTCAGCCATACGTAGGTCTGGCTACATAATTCTTGATTTCCATGAACTTATATAGGGCTAAGTTTTCAGAATGAGCCTATGTTGCATAATTACCCTAAACCAAAATGATTTGGGGTGGGGGGTGGGGTGGGGGGTGGTAACTATCCCTTTGATTAGTGTAAAGGTCTAGAACGTAAAGAAACATCACAGTGATTGCAGTTGAGGTAATTTTTGTTGTCGAAAGAGTATGCTTTAAAACAAACTGGTCATAACCCCAACATATATGCATGCAACCACAGCATACATTTACATGTCAACAGCAGGGCTTCCCATAATCTTTTCTCATCCATCTTTGCTCCCGCTTACAGTACATCAGTTTTGATGTATCGCCATGTTCTTCTTACATGTGCTTGTGTGTTTGAAGATCCCAAAGTGAACGGTGAGGCAGCTAAAGCAGCTCTGGCCAATGAGGACTGTCCCCATATAGACCAAGCCATTTCCCCTGAGGACGGCCAGATCTTTAACCCCAACGAGCCACGGGGAGACACTCCATGCTTTCTGCTCAACGTTGGCAGACGGTCCACAAACACTGGCACCCGAGTGAGGAAGGGTATGTAATCTCTGCGTGAGGCGATTGCCTGACACACACACACACAAATGTATTTACATCATGTGCAATACAAAATAAACAAAACAGACACAACCTACAGACAAGCAGAGCGCGCCCACAACAGACAGTTTATAATGATGGAATAAAAACTCTTACTTTCTTTACAAACAAGACCAAATTTTGTCTTCAATTTCCACCTCAGCTGACTCAGATTTTAATTACATTGGCTTAAAAATGGCCTCTTTTTTATTTACCGTATTACACTGTAGTCCAAATTGCTCATACGTAAATAAGTGATGGTCAAATGAAGATCCTTCCTTGCACGCTTCCAAAAGTCACATTTCTCCAACCCTCTTCTCTTTTAACATATTGTAAATACGTTTTTTTTTTCCACACCACGCTGCATTACGTCATATTAACACACATACAGCTGCCTCTTGGGGCCAACCTTAATCTTCCCTTTTTTCTGTTTTTCTTTGTTGTTTGTTTGTTTTTTACTTGTTTCTTCCACCACTGTACATTGTTGTGGTCTGTCCCTGTGTTTGTTCCTCCTTCCATCTCTCTGGTCTTCCTAATGCTATCCGATTGGCTCATAGCCGGATTGTTCTCAGGGAGGTCAGGGGCGGAGCCGGCCGGCCCGACGCATGGCACACAGGGTTACCCACTGCTGCAGCTAGGCTGGGCGCACAGCCCAGAAGACGGCCATGCCAGGGTCACCACCTGATATCCATGCCTGTTCAAACCGTGCTCACAGCAGCCTTAGATAAACATAAGACCCCTACATGCTATGTAGCTTCACAGGCTTTCCATTGACATCAGCAAATGTAGTGATATATAACCCAGCGTTAGTTTTACTCCTGCATCATCAGATCACAGAGCGACCACATAAAATTGATCACATTCGAAAGAATTTCCATCCACCAATCTGTCACGTGACCATTTTCTAACCAATAGCGCTGTCTGTCTGTGTCTTATGACATGTTGCTCTGTGTGAGCATGCTCTGTTTGACTCCAGATCTTACCCACAGCCAAAATCACCACAAGATCACCAAGCAGATCTACACACACTCTTCCCAACTAATATTTTTTGTGATTTATCTGTGTCTGTGTGAGTTGAGATGTTTGTGTGGGTGCGTGCGTGTGTGTGTGTGTATGCATGCAGTGTTTGTTGGATTGCACTGTTGTTGTTTTTTCTTTGTAGCATATTGTTGTGCATGTGTTAGGACAGTCTTGCGGCCTTGCTGCACAATCTGTCCTGATGCCTGTATGGTATTGGATGAGAAAGTGAAAACTTGGTTTTGCACAAGGCAAAGGAGTATGTAGAGATGCTGTAGACACACCAGGCAGTGACATGACAAACTCTTTCATTTTGAGTCAGTGAGCTACAAGTGGAGAAAGATTTCTAATCTGTATTAACCAAGTCTCTGCTGTAGGCTTCTAACAATGTTATACTCTTTAAACAATCATATCTGATCTAGGGTTTTGGAAAAAATCCACAATCTGATCGCAGAGATATTAGATTTTTCATCACACATATACTTAAGCATAAAATGAAGAGTTCAGATGCAAAACCCTCTAAATCTATCAAACCTCTTTTCTTGGAAATAAGCATTTTCTATCAGGCTCCTTTGATTAGGTTCATAAGTTTCATTTTAGATATAATGACAAGGTTATTAGGCGGTAAATAAAATAACTCTTTTCCAAAAATGTCACTTTAGATAATTATTTGGTTTTTAACAAGGTAGATTTTGTTTTATTGCGTCAAAACCGGCTAAATCCACTTGTGCTTTTTTGCAAACCCTCTAAATCCACCTAGACAGTGTAATTAGTTGTAAAATCATTAAAGATGCAATTACAAATTTTTTTAACAAACATAAAACACATTACACAAACCACTTAAAACACCTTCATTCCGCTGTATTAACCTCTGACGAACCAGACTAAGCAGAAGGAAAATTAATGAATGAAATGTGTCGAGTGCGCATCAATCAATAACATTAAAATTAACCTGAATTAAATCTTAACAATCTGCGTTCATTTCTGATTTCGAGATTTAGATTTAATGTAAGTACAGCAATAAAAACAAGCTTGTTAGATTCAAATAATGTAGTTTAAAAACTTTGCGAAACATCAATATCTGTGCATTGCCCATTAATATAAAAAAGCTTATCAGACTTAGGTAATATCAAGTACTATAAATAATGAATAGTTTTATACATTTTATTTATCTTTTAAAAAACAGCTTACATTAGCAAATAAAACACAAGGTAGGCCTACTGGGCAAAAGGGGGATGCCTCTGAGGGCCTACTCACACTATGCCATCCGTACCGTGCCCAGGCCCGTTTCCCGGATCGTTTGAGAAGTGTGAGTGCGTTGAATCGGGCTCAAGCACGGTTCACTTGGCCGGCCCTGGCCCGGTTGGAAGAGGTGTGCCTGAGCGCGGTACACTTGGGCTTTGGCGCGGTACGCTTGTGTGTGAGCGCGAAACGCGCCAAAGCCCGAAACCGAAAGCGAGACGTGACTTTTAAGGGACTTTTTGATATGGATTTATTAATCATTCTTACTGTTCAGTGATCGCAAACTGCCGTAGTTTATTAAAGACAAGAACTCCTCACAGCACGCCAGCTGCGCGCCTTCAGCAGATCTCCTCATTCCTGCAGCACGAGAGCTTAATGATTGTTTATGAGCGCCAAAAGTGGCGGATCTGTTCGGTAAAATATCTGACTGTGTGTCCCCGCATCCCTAAGGACTGTTTGGCGAAATATTTGACTGCATGTCACTGCATAACAAACGACTGAAAGGATATAACTAGAGAAATCTTCACTGTGCTGCTAAATGAGAGCGTATGGCAAGCCGTTTTAACATTTAAACCTTGTTCTGACTATCCATAAATATATTTAGAGATATAATTATATATTTTGACAAGTCATTATTATAATTCGACTTGTCAGAATGACAATTAGAGATATCTGCAATTACAATTGTACTAGTACGAAATCAGATTGGAGATATCTGCAAATATATTATGACTAGTCATATTCCTCCATTGACTTCCATTGAAAAATATTTGCAGATATCTCTAACTGAGTTTTGACTCGTCAAAAATCCAATTCAAGATATCTACAACTGTAATTCGACTATTAGTAAATTAATTAGAGATATCTTCAAATATATTTATGGAGTCAGAACAAAGATTTAAATGCTAAAAAGGCTTGCCATAGAGAGCGCTTCTGAACAGCGCAGCAGCGATGACGTAAGCGTGCCGTGGCCCGGTATGGTGTGAGCGCGGGCCGTCGGGGGAGACGGGAGGGGGGACAAGCGTGCTTTGGCCCGGTTCGAGGCAACTGTACCTAGTGTGAGTACGGCCTTAGTCTCTTGTTTACCCCCATAGCATCCATGTGGGATAAAAGAACGGCATTTTAACTTCATCTTTCTTGAAACACAGTTGCCATTTAAAGTGTTGTAAATCGGACTCAAAGTAAATGCACAAAAAAAAAAAAACTTTATAAATGCATGCTATACTTCCGACTGTATAAAGTGTTTGCATCTATTAAAATTGAAATCGAAAGTGGAATAAAACAGTCACCTCATAAAAGCCGGCGTATAAGCGCACCATTACATTGAAAACATATAATTTAATTTGCACAGTCAGATTGGTTTTTGGGACATGACGGCTTTTACTGTGAAAGGCAAGTGGTGTTTAGCGGCTTTTGCAAACAAACTTCACTGTTATTTCTGAATGTGCTGAGGCTGGGATTTAGATGATTTGAAGCAAAAGTATTTGTTGAACATGTACATCTGAACTCTTCAAATGTTTTTTAATGGTCAAAATGACTCAAAATGATTGTGAAGGTCATTTAAAGTGCTTAAATCTGAGGTTTTGACCCTGACAAATCATCCGATATGACTACCTTAAAGTGAGTCAATTTAAAGTTAATCTTTAAAAAAAATGCCTTGCAATCCACAGTTTTCGTTGCTCGCTCTAATGCCGGATTAACCAACTGATCTCTGTGCATGCCCTCACACAGAGACTGCATGCCATTTTAAACCCTTTAAACCTGACCCATAGCAGCCAACATGGTGTGGAGCAAACTGACAGAGGTCAAGACCAAGCCTTTGTGTCTTAGCAACTGCCATGTGCACATTTCTCTCCACTAAACCAAGGTTATCAAAAGTCCCGAAGCCTGGGCACCATATCCAGCAAGGCCCGAACGCTGGCCGAGGTGGTGTCGATGTCCACCGGGTCCTGCATCCCACCTGTTCTCCTGCGGCGGTCCCATTCTCCAATCCCCTCCATTCTGTAATAAATGGAGCAGTGGTGTAGTTAGAGCTCTTTCCTTGGGTCTTCCTCCTGTCCTGCTGCTGTTTGATCTAGTTTGGTCTGTCTTGTTTTCTGGTCCTTGTCTTCTGGAGCTTTGTTTTTGTCTCCTCTTCTCCTCTTCCTCCGTCCGTTTTGCTTGTTTCTTGTCTTTACGTACCGACTAACTCACACAAAGCCATCAGAGAGAAAGAAAACCTCCAAAAGATCTCAGGGAAATTTGTATGGATTTCCTAGTTGTATCAAACTCAATAGAAGAACAGGGATGAGGAAGGTAAACTTTTCTTTAAGAGCACATTATTGTTCTAGGGGGCACATCATAACTGGAAGAACTAATGAGGCAAAGCCTCCCTTCAAATGATTGAAATCATGAATTTACTATGAATGTTTACTTATAAATCCTCTCCCATTTGATTATATTGTCTGACACCTGGAGGACAAAATAATAGCCACTTGTTTTTTTGTCAGTTTGCTTTTTGTGTAGTTTCTACGTTTAAATGGTATAATTCCCTTTTGGTCTGGTGAAGTCTTCCTTCTTTCTCCGTCGCCTCTTTAACAAGAACCCAGGTAGGAGCAATCAGGATTTCCTCTTTCTCTCCTCCGCTGTCTACGGCCAGTGTCTCTCCTTCCTCTGCAATTCTTTCATTCTCCCTGTGCATTTCTGTCCATCTTTCTTTCTCCAACCTCTTTAGCCCTGGATTGCAAAAGCAACCCAAATGAACGTTTTTTTTTACTATACTGAAAAGGAAGTCTTATTTTCTCAGCCAATTTCCTCCTTATTCTTTGAGCTGAATGAAAACAAGGCCCAATGGCAGGATGACCCTGAGCAATCCCATCCTCCCCTGTATTTTCTACTGCAGATCCCTGCAAAGAGGAAACTGCCCTAGTTAAGTATATGCAGTCAGAGGTGCTCAAAGTGACCTGAGAAGGCAGCAGCATCTCAAAACCTTGGATTCCCTTCTCCAGCATTGCTGGACTCCACAACGGCCAGAGGGATTTCAGGCTGGAATCCACAAGAGGGACGCATGTGTAGAGAGAGAGAGAGCACAATAGAGGATGTTGCTAAGCGGCGTTTTTATTCCCAATCCGATGGCGTGAGGGACCCAACGGACAAGGACTTTTTTAAAGAAGACCTTAAAGACCAGCGAAGGAAGAGTGTGACCAATGGATGGCTTTAAAGCCAGCAGAATGCATTTTTATAAACACAGTACTAACGATAGTACCTGCAGTGACAGATGTAGTGGACTCTTACCTGTTCATTTTAGCATGAGCTGCATGGTGTTACATAAAAAGAGGAAAATATTCTATATCTGTTATGAATATCTGTACAGAAAAAAACAACATATTTTCTTTCAAGAGTTCCTGACTTTTGCAGAATTGACATGTAGCCATGGATACGATGAGATGTTCAGAAACCATGTTCTTTATTTGAGCAAC